CTTTCCCTCTTGACAAGCTTTTCTGTATGGGCTAGTGTGTACAGAAAGTCAGTAGTCTGCTTCAAGAGCCAGCCCTATGTTTCCTTTCGAGGGAAGGGCTTGCACAGTGCCCCGGGACCTTTTCAACATCTTGCAACCTGCTGGCCAGGCTTTGGGGACTGTGTGCCTACTTGTGACCTAGATTTACCGAGATGGATATTTGGGTAATTCATTACATCTTTGTCCCAGTGTGCACACCTGGTTGTGCCTTCCTTTTGTTCACTGCTTCTGTGTGCAGAGGCTGACTCACAGCATAGCTGACAGTCGGCAGGTGCCTGGAGCAGCCTGTTTAAATAGATCCAGTGGTTCATGCATGTGACAAGGTTTTGAGGGTGGGGAGGATGGCGAGTGACCTTTTTTCTTGGCAGCTTTGTAAAATAAACAGGAGTTTTCAGAAGCACTCCCTGCATAGTTTCGCTTCTCTTTCCAATTGGAATAAAAGTACCAACTGGTGAGAGCTTGTGAAAATCTGTACTTTTCGTTGACCTACCTGCTTGCCAAAGGGAAAATGGGGATGGAATTCCGCGGCTTCTTACAGAGTTTCAGGCTTCCCCTTAAAAAAGGAAGTGTAAGGTTCTTGTGCCGTTTATGAACAAATACAAACAAATCCCATGTTTTTTTATACTGCAGTCTGCTAAGGGTCAAATTGGAGCTGTAGGAAACAGCACTGGAGTTAGGAGAGTGTCTAGGATGATGCTTGCTATTCTGTTTGATGCAGCAGTTAATTTCTTTTATTCTCACTTCAAAAGTGCATTTGTTTCCCCAGGGAGCTTACAGCGGTGCTGGGCCTCAGGTGTGGTGGACCCAGAGCTCAGCAATTCTCAGAAAAGGGAAAGCTGTAAGGAGTAGGTTTCTGCAGTCTGGGTAATAGAGCTTAAGAGTTGAAGCAGTGAAGTTGGATGCTGCTGAGTAGTCAGTAGCTGGTGGTTTGGACCCTGCCTGCAGTAGCCTTGGGTGCGAAAAGAGATAGGAAGTCTCTCCCCGTTCCAAGTGGTATTGATACAGCTTGGAAGATGAGACCCATGCAGTATTCATTCTGGTATTTCCTGCTCCTGGTCCAGCCTCCAGTTTTCTGGCTTAGGTGATGGATTTGACAAGCAATTCCAAGGCTAGCAGGTAAGAAGCTGTGATTGTTGTCAAACTGTAGGAGTACTTTAGATCAGAGCTTTTGTTTTTCGTTTCCCAGAGAGAAAACATGAGTTAATAAAACCTGTCCTTGCAGCTAGTTAAGTATGGTGAGAGTCATGTCCCTGCCATAATCTCTGATCAGCTTTGTCGCAATTTAGTGAAGCATTTAAGTACTTGTCTCCAAGTTTGTTTGATTTAATCATACTCTGGAGAAACGTCTGCTGAAAAGAGCTGCTGTCTGCATCAGGGCGTTGGGAAACAGCCGTGAAATAAATGACGGTGTGGGTGATGGTCTGTATGTGTCTGCTACTGGTTGCAAAACATGAGAGGAGGAAATTTTTCTTCTCCAGATCATGTGAGAGCCCAGTAGACATCAGGAAAATGTTAATGCTTAAATTGCTTTGGAGAAGGAATGTAAAGCAGCTCTTAAAGGCTGGTGAGTATGGCAGCAAGTGTGCAGCGTGGCAGCAGTCTTTGACAGAGACGGGGGCAGGCATGAGAACTCAAGTGTCTCCATCCCTTGGGAGGTCTACTGACTGGGGTCTCACTGCTCGGTAGACACACCGAATCTGACCTGTATACATCTGCCCAGACTGTGGATACTGTCTAGGGTTTTCTCTTTCATTTTTGTAAATAGCAGTGGCTTTCTGAGAGACTGTATTTGATCCTCTGTGGGGCACACTGTGTCCTTTGTCAGATGTATGCCATATGACTGGGTTGGTGTCTGTTACTCCCTAAAGAAGGAAGATAGTCTGGCTCATTAGTAAAGATCGGGACAAACACATGTCACTTTCCACAAGGCAAAAGCCTGGGGCATTTGTTGTTCCCACACCAATCTGGAGCGCTGCTTTTCTGTGTCCTGCTCTTTGGCTGTAGTGATCCCTAGAGATTTCCTAAGCAGCAAAATCCCATAAAAAGCAGCACTGCACAGGGCAGGTGTTCATTTTCAGAGGTCATGACCCAATCTTGTAGGCATTTGGGCCAGAGAGCAGCAAAAGGCATTTCTGATACCCCAGGCCAGGTTTTTGCTACATTTCAAAAGCTCATTCAACCATCTGGGAAAAGAAATGCTGCTTCTGAAAAGTTCGAGAGGCAACTGGGGAAAAAATGCAGCCTTTTTGCCTTATATGTGGAAGAAGCTTCCTGGCTCAAAATGTAAGAGAATATTTTAAGTATAGTAGGAAGAAAAAGACGAGTCGAAGAACAACAGGGGGGCTTTGGCCAAATTGTTAGAAACATGGTAGCTTCTAATAGAAAATAATTGGATGAACCTGGGAATCAGTGTCAGCTTCAGCTTGTGAAGGAAAATGGTGATGAGTCTAATTCTGGTGGACTGCTGGCCGCATAGGAGGAGAAATGCTAGCCCTTTCTTTTGCTTTCTTCCTGCAGGGTGGTGTTAAAATCTCTTGATAGCTCTCACCTGAAAATTAAGCAAAGTGCCTATGAACCGCCAGCAAAGCCCTTCCTTCACCTTTGTCTGGCTGTTTGCCTTTGGATCCCAGTTCCTTATACAAGTTTGGAGAAGATAGGCTAAGTAGAAATAGACAGTGAAAACTCCAGAGTTGGAAATATTTCATCATATTGCTGTGAGCAGTGCTGCAAAGCCCTGTTAGTGGTGGGGACCTCTGTCTGCTAGCTCAGTGTAAGTAGAATGCGGGTGGTCAGATCTGTTCTGTTGCTCTGGGAAACCTACTTTGATGGTACACTGTGACTAAAAGTTGTGGTGTGTGTAGCATCAGAGTGAGGCGAGTTGTACCCATATGTTTGACCTACTTGTCTGTTGTTCAGTCAAGCAAATTTTCACAGAGCTGGCTATTAAGGATCTTCAAATAGACTGTGCAAGATTCAGAAAGGAGCCAGTGGATTACAGGATGAGCTGTGGGATATGCTTATAGGATTCTTGTTGCAAGTTCAGCTGTGGGATATGCACAAGGCTACTTTCAACTCTTCAGTTTTTGAAATTATTTTTGTTTTGGGTCAGAGTTAAGGCTATTTAAATGCTAATGTTTCTGTTGAGTGTGCCATAGCTATTACAGTATGTGATTTTCGGGTTTGTTCATACTTGATGTGCTACTTTTTGGTACTCATGTGGATCAACAGTTCTTCTACACGTGTGATGGGTTTGCCTTTGTCTGGGGGCCAAACCACACACCCTCTCACCCAATTCCCCCCACCCGAGGATAGGGGAGAGAATTAAAGGGGTAAAGGGAAAAAAGGACTCATGGGTTGAGATAAGAACAATTTAATAACTACAATAATAAGGAAAATAATAGTATATACAAATATATAAATGAGTGATACACAGTGATACTGCCCCCCCACCTGATGACCAAGGCTCAGCCTGTTCCTGGCTAACGATCCCAGAGCAGGGAGAGTCCTGAAACCGCACTCACGAACGGAGATAACAGACCGAGTGTCCCAGACCGAGAGCTGACCAGGGTTGGGGGGGAAGGCCTTAGGAGAGGGACCACCTGGAGCGAGATGACCCAGAGCCAAAGAGATTCGGAACCAAAAGAGCTGATCTTCCGGAGGGTCCTCACCTATATACTGGGCATGGCGTGTATGTTATGGAATAGATTATTGGCCACTCTGTGCCTCAGTCCTGAACCTAAGATCAAATCCTAGGCTAGTAACTGGGGCTGTGCTCCCTCCCAGCTTCTCCTGTTTGCGGACAGCCAGAGAAGCTGAAAGAACTTGGCAGCCACGTAAACATCACTTTTTATCAGCTTTCTTCTGAGCACAAATCCAAAACACAGCCTTTTGCTAGCTATTATGAAGAAAGTTAACTCTGTCTCAGCTTAACCCAGGACAACGAGTTAACATATTTTGAGCCTGTGTAGGAGTTATGTGCCAGAGGGAGTAAATCTAACTATGTATATAAGGTAAATTACAAATATGGATTATGCGAATCAGGGACATTCCATACCAAAATACTTCACTTGAGTCAAGTGGCCTATTTGAAGCGCTCCATTAGCTTGTAGTAATAGCAGGCATTTATCCATTGTATGCATCAGCTACGGGAGGGTGGAAATCAGATGCACTTACCCTAGTGGTGTACCTACTGCCTCTCAAAAGAAGTCCATCCCAACTGTCTGATATCCAACTAGGCTTAAGTCAGCTTACAGACCCTTTTCTTTGTGGGCTGCTATCAACAACAGAGTTGTGACCTTTGGTGTCAAACCTACTGGCATCTTTCCTATAAATTCAGAGAGTAACAATGGTAGCATGCAGCAGTCCAAGACATCGATCTTCAAGCACAAAAGCTGCTTATTGTTTGTTTTCTGTTTTGCCCTTAGAAATGGAATGTGTTTATGTTTGGTTGTGTGACTGTGGAAGCACCCAAGTGTCTGTGAGGCTCAGGGGCTTTGAATAGCTATGCTGACATAGTTTTACAGGTAAGCCCATATGGGGAAATCTTTGCCCCATTGAAGTCAGTGGCAAAAAAATCTCACTGACTATCAGGAGTTAAATTGGACCTTGAATTTCAAGGCTGTAGTCTTGTAGCTTTTGCAAATTTAACAGGGCTATTTGGGAAAAAAAAACAACAAACCAAAACAAAACCAAAAAAAACCCAAAACAAAACCAAAAAACCCAACCAAACAAACCATAAAACCCAAAAACCTTATTGAGAAAATGACTTTAATCTCAAATCCTGCATTCTGATATTTTTTGCTTAGATGAGACTTCTGCTCAAGGCTTGTGTGTTACCATGAGCAGATACGGTACTTCCTTAATCAGAGACAGCTCTCTTGCTGGTGAAAGATAGAGAACATGTTAACGTATGTGTAGCAGGGGTCAAACAATAACCCCATCTCCTTTATCTCCCTTTGCAGGCCCTCTACAATTCAATCAAGAATGAGAAGCTGGAATGGGCAGTGTAAGTATACTGTGTAAAATTAGCAGTTTAAAAATAGTACCCATATAATAATCTGTTTATACATCTTATCTCACCATGTGAGTGGGCTCCAAAGCCTGGAGAAGATAGCCAGGGTACGTAATGAGTTTGCTTTTCTGTTAGAGAATGATGTGGCTATTCTGCCTCATCTGTTTCTCCAGAAAGGGGAGTTGTTAATGGTAGGAGCCAACTGAATTTGTAAGGAAAGAGGATGTTTCATTTAGTAGGGAACTTCAGCTTAAAAAGAGAAATTAAATCCTCTGTTGTTCTATGACTGCATAAATAAAACAGAAGTTGACTTCTCTGTCTTTCGGTACATTGTGTCAGAACCACGCAATAGAAACACACGTCTTGGATTGAGTTTCCTGCTGTTGGTTTACTGTCTTGGTTTGTCTCCTGAATAACTGTGGATAACTTGACAACAACCTAATGTGAGAGATGGTAAATTGGACAGAGTCTAATATGCCCTGTCCTTAGCTGCTTTTGACAGGCTAACACTTGTTAACTACAGAAATACTGCAAACAAGAAAGAGCTTCAGTTTCTGATTGTGTTGAATTGACATTTCTCTGTGCTTAGGTTTTATGTGGTCTAGGTATGCCAGCAAAGAGTAGAAGGGTCTGCTTTAGATTTTTCTGCTTGCAGAACAGTGGATTTTGGTGTAAAATAAAAGAATGGTGTCTTTTTATCTATTTTGGCCATACAATATGTTTACCTGTGTGGATTTACATACCTGAAACCTCATGTTCTTGAGAACAGTGTATGTCTGTGATGCATGTTCCTGCACCTTTTGTGTTAGAAGTCCTAACAACTGCCATAGGTCTTGCCAGCCCATTGGCTTCTGATCTTCCTAGTTTTAAGTTCATCATCTGCAAATTAATTTCTTGTCAGGGTGTACAACCTCACTTACAAAGGCTGCTGGTTCCAACTGGGATTGCAGCCCCTGTTCAGAAGTGTGTTAGATAATGTCAGGAGTGGTGAGGAAGGTGTGCTGGTAAGGGGAATCACCAAGAAGTGCTACCTCTGATGAGCCTCATAAGAAGCACAGTGGAAGACATTTTCCCAGGCCATGTTTGGGACCTGGAATACAGTGTGTGAATCCTAGATGCCACAATGCTAGACCTGTTTGCAAGATGCTCTCTCACAGGTGCTTTAGACCCAGAAGAATCCATTATGTGACTTTCTTGATGTCAGAATTTTCCTCCAGATCTTGGCAAGAGACCATACTGTGTCTAATACACTTGGGCAGCCTCCAGGTGGAAACGGGCTCATGCCTGGCTCTGCTCCTGTGAGCTTCAGTCAAGGTGATTTATGAGATAGCTTGCTCCTGTATAGGTGGTAACTGCTTCGGCATTTACATAGTCCAGTCCCTATTCCTTGATAATGAATTGTTTGTGGAAAAATTGCAAGCAGGCTGAAAAAGGGAGAAATCAGAATCCTCTTTAAATAAGGCTTTGGGATGTGGGTGTAAAGCAACCTTGTCCATTTGTCCATTCCAATCTGAAACTCAGACAGATAACTGGGACTGATGTGACAATTACTTTGCATGCTGCAAAACAAAGCTCATTCTGGGCATCATCAAAGAAGTTGTGCCTTTACCTTTAGGGCTGAGAGTGCTGTCCGGAAGAGAGAGTGTGGAGATGTCTCTCCTTGTTTACAGAGATACACGGTTGGTGTAATCACCCTAAGGAGCCTCAGGACTGCCTGAGCTAGAGGGGGGAGGCACATCGCTCTCTTGCTCTGCTGTCATGATCTGCAGAGAAACGTGGATAGGAAGGGGACATGGTCAGTTTTGCTGTGATGGGACTGAGGAAGATCTCCCTCCTTTCCTTTGCTTCCCTGATGCAGTTGGCTGGGGAAGAAGGGGGAGGTAAGGCAAGGGTGAAAATAAGTCTACAAAACCCGGAATAAGCTGCCTTGTGATTCTGGCACATTGAAGGAATGCCTTTCCTCCAGACAGAATCCCTTTGAGGGTCCAAGACTCTCTCTTATGAGCTAAGCAACAGTTTAAGAGCATCTCTGACAGTACATTATTTGATGGATTAATGACTGTCAGTAAGTTCATAGGCAGGGGAGGGTAACATTGATATGTAAGATCGGGGAAGACGGCATCATGATCCTTATCTTGTGAGTGTGAGCTAGGTTTGTCATCATCCTAAATGGTTTGTTGTTCGTTTCCAGTAGAATTCCAGTCTGATCCAAAGCCCACAGAAAGAAAAGGCTACCATTGATTCCAGTTTTGTAGTCAAGAGAAGTGGCACTGTAGTCTGCAGATGCACTCCACAGACTTTCAGTAGCAGTGTTCATTTATCCTTCATGAACAGGGAAGAGTGAGCACAGCTCTGGAAAACAGAATTGTATTACAGTTCTTTTTCTGCAGTAGTTCCAGTTTCAAGTTCCCCAAAAGGTTAAAAGTGAATCACAAACCAGGATCTGTAAAATAAACAGATCTGACCTCAAATTTACCCTGAACTGGTAAATGTGAGATCCTGAATGCACAGTCTTACTCCACACTGCATCCCCCAGATTTTTGGGTTACTTTTCACAGTAGAACTGCCAGAAAACATTCTCATTTACTTGGCATGCCATTTGCTTTGCTTGCTGTTTCCTCTTGCCTGCCTTGTTCAGTGTTCTGGAAGGAAAGAGAGTAACAGTATGGGAAAACCATGAGAAATACAATTATTGTGTCTTTTGTCTCATTCCATACTGCCTCTCTACTGCTTACAATTCTGGATCTCTCCTGTCTGTTGGACTGTGGTTTATTTCTTTGAACAGCAAGTGAAGCACTAAGTAATGATTAGACCTCTCTGAAGTCATTGTCAGAAGTTCCTACTGACTGTAGTGCAGCCATGTGCTGTTTCATCCAGTTAGTCAAATGCATCTTGTTTTCAGTGTGCTAAAGGTCACTAGAACCACCCCAAGAGTGCATGTAGCCCCAATAATTGTGTCATAATTTCTCATGCTGCTTGAATTTCCCTGGGGGACTTGATATTTCAGTGAGATTTTTTTCATACTCAAATGGTAAACTGTTGTTCTTTAACCTTGACATCACTTGTAAGATGAAATGAATTCAAGATCCTGTGAACATGAGTGGTGAGATTAAAAAGGTTGGATTGTTTAGTTGGAAAAGGGAGCACTGAGGAGAGAGGCCTGAGTGTATTTTTTTCAGTGTATAAAGGCTGTCACAGAGGAGAAGGGTGTGAATTATTCTTCACACCCGTTGCAGGTGAGCTTGTATTTGAAACAAGGTATGTTTGGGTTAAACATTAAAAAGCTTTCTAGCAATAAGCCATTTAAACCAGAGCATAGATTTGCCTGGACAAGCTATGGAAATGCTTTCACTGGAGGTTTCTGTGAAGGTTATTCTGTCCAGAATGGGTAAGGAAGAGTGGATCCATCCTTAGAGGTAAAGAGATGGATTAGCTGACCTCTTAACATCCCTTCAGTCCCATTGTCTATAATATTGTTGCCCAGATTTTGTAGATGTTTCTCATCTGTTGTCTTTTGCACCGATCATCATAAGCTTTAAGCTGGAGAAGAAAAATTAATTTGATTTCAAAGGCACCAGAGCTAAATATGTTTTGTTTGCATGATGTCTACATGGAAGTGTGGTGGTGAACATTATTGTTCTTCATTGCTTGCAATATTATGTCTACTTTCAGTTAAAGGTGATAGGAACAATAAAATCATCATCTTAAAACAGGCTGAATGGTGATCTAGAATTAACCTATAAAATCCCAAAGTGCTGCTTACAAAATTGCAAAAACCAGGTGGCTGCATTTGAGCTAGTTGTGTCCTGAAAGCTTTCTCTCAGCAGGACAATGCAATTTGCAGGAGAATCACTTGGTTTTTGACTAGTTGATGATGCAGTTTTCTTTGCAGAGAAGCTTAGAAGTAGACATGATATATTCTTTTTTCTTTTTCTGGACTGCACTGAAAAATCATCGCCTTCCAGCCAAACGAAAATAGGTCTTTGAGACAGTGATGGTGGAAAAGGGCCGCTGCCAAATCCTTTGTGTTTCCTGCGGCAAACTGTGATGCGGAGACCGGGGTGGTTATAAAGATGTCTGTGCTGAAACTCACCTTTTTCTAGGTCAAACCCAGAAATCTCTCCCTGTTCTAATTAACTCTTTGTCTCCCAAGTTCTAGGATGCTTCCTGTTGCAACTTCATGACTGGTTTTAGAGAGGGGTCAGATGGTAGTCGCCTGGCTCTCCTTTCTTCTCTCCTCCCTTTGGGAAAGATGCCAAAACTTCTCTCCACTAGTTTCTCAAGTGAATTTCCTCATACAGATGCTATCAGTTCCACAGATTAATGTAATTATGTTACAAATCTGAATTTTTTTAAATACCAGTTTTTAAGTGGATAAACCCAGTCTTTTGCCATATCATGGAAGTTTTCTATTTGAACAAATGCAGAGATGAAGCAGACTTCTTAAAAATGAAGGGCTTGACCCTGTCTTTCCAGCTTAGTGGCTTCAAAGTTTTCCAAGACAGAGCCTCAAATCAGACCGTAGAGTGTACAGGAATGTTTTTGTTTTTTTTTTTGCTAAGAGAACCGGATGGTGTCTTTTTCCCTGGAAGAAAAAAAAATGGCATTTTCTTGTGTAGGGTCTTTCTGGGGAGAGGCAAAAATGTATTTCTACACCAAAACGGCAACAACCACATTTTTGCGTGTTTTTCATATCTGCATGCTTAAAAATAAAAGGCAAACTCTTTTTGGTTGTCGGTGATCACACATTTGGGAAGGAAAACATTGCTGTTTCAGTGCTGTGTTTCCAAGTGGTAGAGCAAGCAGATCCTGGCTTTGATGTGTTGGTTCTCATGGGCAGCCAGTGCCCTAGTTACTGCTCTGTCTGCGGGTCCTTTTCCAAAGAGACAAGCTGAGGGACGTTGAACTTGGTTTTGGGAAACCTTGCAAATCATCACATGTAGTAAACAGTCTTGGAGAAACTCTACAGGTGGTAGCCTTTCCCCGTCACCAGTACCCTGCAGAACAAACACTCCAGTAGGTCCCATTTTCCGTCCACAGAAAGTGGGACCTACAAGAGGGTTCACAGCCATCAGCTCCTTTGAGTTGTCAGAGAGGGGTCACCAGGTGAATCACTTCCAAACCCAGAGCCAGGAATGATCTCCCTCCTCTGATCAAAGACAGAAAATCTCTTAAGACTTCTGCAAACCTAAGTGGACCCTCTTGATGGTGTTTTGCTAGTGAAATGTATTTTAGAACCGACATAGAGTTTTTCCCCCAAAGGCACAAGGATTGTGCTATTTCCTGTACCAAATGGAAAGGAGAGGCACCAAGCCTGCCCCTGACAAGGACCTGAGCTCTACCTGTGTGACATTAGACCTATGACTCTGAACATACCTGCATAGAGGAACGACCCACTGATTCTTATCCATGCATCGTCACTGGAGGCCTTCGCGCTGGGGATGTTAACAGGACTTGAATAATCTCTGAGAGCCATCTGCTGATGAGGAGGTTACAACCCCCAGCTAGGCTTTCAAACAAAGATCAGTGTTCAGGGGTATGCGTCCACAGGCCAGATGAATTTTCTGTAGCTCGTCCTTCCTGCAACTGCACCCTACAGGCTGGTGAGGAATAAGCTCAAATCGTTACATTCTTGGTAAAGCTTATCCAGGACTGATCTATTAATCCAGCTTTGGAGGGTATGTTAGCAAAGGCTAATACCTGACTGTTTTTCCTACTTTGGAACTGCTCCAAATCGTCCTGCTATCTTCTTACGCTTGACCAGTGAAGCAACATGAAGTATTTGAAGAAGTGGGTCCCAAATGCCTTAGCTTTATTTCCACTGGTGTTTCATATTCAAGATCAGAGGGAGACAGAGGTTCCTTTTAGTCCTGTTTTCTCAGCTGTTCATCCATTTCTTGTTCTCTGTAGTGAGTCCCCCTTGCCTTTCTGGTTCCCTTTGTTGCATCTTACAGACTGGCTTGTGCATCTTGATCTCGTGCATCTTGTCAGAGCACTCAGCTCTCACAAGTCCCTGAGGCTTCCGAGTCTCAAAGATGTCCTATTTTCAATGATAGATTAAAGGATCAGTTAAAGGTTTGTTCAGTGCTACCAGTAGTCATGACAGCAGATACCATTTTGTCCTTGTCTGTCCTGTCTGCATTTGTCTTTCGAAGAATTCCTGTTTAATAGCTGCCCCAGAGATGCTGAGCTTTAAGGGCACTGCCCCCAGCAATAGTGGTGTCCAGGATGCCCAGGATTGCTCATCACAATACCTGTGGCTGCTTGGGTAAGGTTACTGGTACATTCCTTCAGCACAGTGGATCAGTAAAAGATAATTTGCTCCTGTAGCTCTAAAGGAGATAGCTTATTCCAAAAAAGTGATAAGCAATTTACTGCAGTAGGTCTCTGCTGACAAGGAGAAATCCACTGTGTCCTTGTCTGGGATCCCAGAATTCACAAGGCACTTCTGTGTGACAAATCAGCCCAAGCACTAATGCCATTTGAGAGATTTTAATCTGGATTAGGTATCCAGCTTTGTGTTGAGAGAATTTGGTCCTGGAATGGACACATGTCTAAGAAACCTGTGTCACACAATGGTCCAGACTTGCCAGCAGCTCCTAAGTGTGGTAGACACAGGAAGGGTGGGGACAATCAAAATTGTCAGAAATTCCTATATTTTTCCAATTGTGAGAGGGCTTCAAACAAAACATGCATGAAGAAGTCCTTATTGCTTTGACCAACAAAAACATTTTTGCAGACCTCTCTGTTCTGGAGTGGGAAAGCACATATCAATAGGCTGAAAGATGCAAGGACTGCTCTCCCTTGCAGGAGTCAGGTCTTCAGATAAAAGCTTTGTTCCTCTTCATCAGGAGACCTTGGAAGACAACACCGTGATGATATGGGGCACTACCTGGACTATATCTCTACAACTAAGTCTAGTGTCTGATATCTTTGTGTGGCTCTCAGGCCGAAAGTCGATGTGTAGCATCCATATCTGTACTATTGCAAAGTCTTACTCTCCAAAAGAAGATGTTTGCCTCTGTACTGCCTGTTCGCGTGGTCCTTGACTGTGCTGATTCCTAAATAGTATCTGAAAATTGTTTGGGAATGTGCTGGGCTGGGACCATGCCAAGCACAAAGTAATATGAGTTGATCAAAGTCAAATGCCTAGGAGCATTCTCTCACACTGCTGAGTTCACTAATGTAGCCTCTGTGCCTCTGAATTTGGTTTCCTTGTTGTCAAACCAGTCTATTATTCATGTATCTCCTCCAACTAAGTTATTCCCCATAAGACCATTTCAGCAGAGATCAGGATAACATGGATGTTGCTCTAGCCTGGAGTTCTTGGAGGATGTTTCTTTGGTTGATCATTCCCATAAACAGACATTGTTGCAGTGTACCTTCTGTAGCAATGCTTCTCCTAGATGTCAGCCCTCTACCAATGACAGCCTTCATCCTCTCTGACACCCCTTTCCCAGTCACCTGGAGGGGAATGTGTGGGGATTTAAGGGACACAGGGCTGCTCTGTAATCTGACACTGACTGTGGTTCCTCCGATACGCCATCCATCCAGATTCAGTGCCCTCTGTTTTCAGTTGTTCTCTGAAAACTATTATCCTACTCTTGTGATAGACATAATTTGTTTGCCAGGTTGTCTGGTCCTCTGGTTTTGGCTGTGATGAGCAAAAAGGCATTTATTAGTCAGGCAATGCTTGTGACTTGCTGAAATGGGTTGCATTGTTGTCCCCAAGAGCTGTGTTGAATACATTGCCCTAATAAGTAACATTTTGAGCAGAATTTTGTTTCTAAAATACAGATAACATAATTTACCTCGTGTAGTTTTTATTTTTAAATTACTACTTTTATGCTAGTCTGCAGAGGAAAATAAAGAAAAGGAGGTAGAGTCTGTGTTTTGTATGCTAAGTTAAGGGGTAAGCCACAGTGATCTGTACTAACCTAATTGTTTTCATCTACTTGTGAACTCATGAAGAAGTTTGAGATTTTTCAGGAGAGCCCAGCAGGCAATTATTTCCCATTTTAGCACTCAAATAAGTGGAATTAAAAATAGGTGAAGTTGGATGACACAGAACACTCTTGAAATCCTACCTTTTGAGACTGTAAACAGGAAACTTAGGCTTTTTAAAAAATCTGTCTCCCATGTCGTGTGCTGGTGAAGTAGGTGAACTAAAGTTTTGCTATAATCCTACTATGTTTTGATAGACTTCGAGGTTTCTCTCTAAATAGGGTCCCCTACATAGAGAGGTATGTCTTGACAAGGAGCATACAAGAATTACTGAAATGAAATGAAACTTTGCTGCTCAGTCCCTTGTTCATGCTTAGTTTTCACTGCTTTTTAAGGGATGAAGAAGAGAAAAAAAAGTCTCACTCAGATGGTACAGATGAAAAGGATAATGGGAGCCAAACAAAGGCTGTCAGTCGAATTACCAACTCAAATAACCCATTCCTGGACATCCCTCAGGACCCCAGTGCTGCTGTGTATAAAACTGGATTTCTGGCTCGGAAAATCCATGCGGATATGGACGGAAAGAAAAGTGAGTATCTTTGACTCTTAACATCTCATTTTCTTGTTATCTCTGCATAAAACCACTTACTATGAGCCCATGTGCTTCTCAAGGCAAATAGTTCTGCTTCATTAGGGGAAATTGCAGCAATAACAAACAACGCAGCAATTGGATTATCACACTGTCACTATTAGGCCAGGATTTACAATGCTCAGTCCTATTTGCAGCAGCTCTAATGCATGAGCACAATGAGTAATGTGATACAGCAAAGCAATGTGAATCTTTTGTGCTAAAAGAAAATGAATCTCATGGTTTACAGAAGAGAAAACAATTTCAAGTGAATTACAGTAGCTGTTCCATAGTAGTTTGGTAATTCTCCTTTTCCTTACGTGGTACTAGATTGTTTCAAAACTCCCCTCCCCTCTGGGTTTGTCTTTAAAGAAAGGCTGTTCATCTCTGCTTGGAAGATGCTGTAACTGTTCTCTTCCCTGCTTTCCCAGCCATGGGTCACATACCCAACGAAGTTCAGCAGCTTTTTGTAACAGCCAGATTTATGCCATGCAGTTCCTCCCTGCCCCTTCTTTCTAATAATCCTGCTGTGTCTTTAATTATCCTCTTTCCTTCTTGTCCTGCTTCTATTTGTGGTGCACTAATTATTGAAGGCCTCTAATTTTCCCGTGTGTGTTTTGTTTTCTGGATATCTTTATTTGTTTGTTTTCTGTTGATGTTCTTGGAAACAGGAGAGGTTACTCAGAGTGTCTGTGTTTTCCACTATCATTGTTGATGATCACCTACTCGTGGTTCATGCTGTTAGGCTGAATCCTGGAGGCAAAATCTGACTTTGTGACGGGTTTCCAGTAACTGCAACTCTCCTATCTGGGCTAAGCTCTTTGGTGTTCACATGTTTTGCTAGTATATTTTAGAAGGTACAATTGGAGGCTGGTGTTTTCAAGTTGGAGGCTGACAACTGGACAACTAAATACAAACAGAGATGTCAAAATCAAACTGACCTCATTCTTTGTGGTGACTGGATGCTCTGAATTTATTAAACTTCCAATTATTTAACCTTAATAAGTAATCGTATATAATTGCCTTTATTAAATTATTTCTTTAATTACAAGTAATCAGAGTTGCTCATTAATCAGTGCACTGGATGTTGGCATTTTGAAAATAATCCTTTTATGAGTAATGTAATTAAGTCCATGTTTTCAGAAGTTCCTGTACATCTTAGAGGTCTATCTCTCATTGTCATGCAGCTCTTTTACATTCTGACTTTCGAGTTGCAAATAAAATGAAATATTTTTTTTTAGTTAGACATTTTCATGTTTCATTTCCTGATGGAGTTGTTGCAGGGCAGAGATTAGCTTGTGCAGGATTGCTAACAAAGTGACGTGCTAGCATGCTGTATGTATTTTCTCAGGAAAGGAGTACTGAGGGCTAAAGCACTTAGGCAATCTAGAGAAGGACGTAGCAGGGGCCAGTGTCCGGAAGCTGAACTGAACAAATGCCAATTAAAAGTAAGGCCTGTCATGTGAGATGAGAATTATTAACCTCTGGAGCAAGGGACGGATAACCTCTTCACCATTACTTGCTGTCTTCGGATCAGGATGGGATGCCTTTCTGAAGGTGATGCTTTAGTCATGCATGGGTTATTAATTTCGGTATAGAGGCAAGTGGATGTTGGTCAGTGGTGTGTGCTTGGTGGAGAGTAAGCTTAGTGATGCAGCCTTCTGGTCTCTGGCACTGTAACCATACAGCCTGTGCCTTCTCTCCCTCTGTTGCAGCTGAATTTCAGACTGGAGTCTTCATGCTGAATCCCCTTTTCTACCCCCCACACCTCTCCCACCCACCCTTCCCACCTGTTTCTAGGCATTGTGCAGGCTGATGATGTTGCCTCTATTACATTCTTCAACCTCTAACTGACTTTAGGTTTCTTGAGGGGTGATTCTTTTTTTTCCTAGGATCTTGTTTGACTCCACTCTCCTTTCTCTTCTTTTGCTTCCCCTGCGGCTGCCGGAAGAGGAGAGGAGACCAAGACGGCATCTGACCATTCGGTGCCAACTTGGGTGTGCAGCAGCAGCAAGGGGGAAGCAGCTCAAGCAGCTCTTGAGAGGCGCTGCTTTCTGACCAGTGTCCCATTAGTCCTGAGCAGTACCTGCCGGCCTGCTGTGGCGTGGAGAAAGGGTGTTTCCTTCTGAAAACTCTGCCATGGCACAGAGCTCAGAACTAGCTGTGTAGGAGCAGTGCCAGCCAACCTGCAAGAGCCCAAGGACTGGCTCTGGCCTGCCTTCTGCATTGCTGCTGTTCCCTTCTGATCCAGTCTAGGGCTGTCGTCAGGGTTGTTTTATTACTCTCTCACACAGCAGGCGTGTGCAGGCACTGTGCTGAGTTGCATTGTCCTTTGAAAAGGAGAGTACAAAGGAGGTTTAACACAGGACTAATGTAGCTCTCCTGTTGCCTAGACAAAGTGCAAAAATGGATCTGAGTTAAATGGGTTTTCATTTGTTTTCTTTGCAGCTCCCCGGGGAAAGCGAGGCTGGAAAACCTTTTATGCTGTGCTGAAGGGAACAGTCCTGTACTTGCAGAAGGTAAGCGAAATCACTGTCTTTTGGAAACTAATTAAAGAGGGATAAAGCAGCAGGCGTCCTCTCTGCTCTCACAGACCACCTCCAGGCTCCTTTCCCTCTGACACACAGTGTAGCTGCTCTCTCTGTGCCCCCACCCTGTTTACACACACATTCAGGCATGAACCCTTTCATTGACACCCTCCCCCTTTTCACACTTACAAGTTAGTTTCCGTTGTCCCCATCCACAGGTGCACCCTATCAATTCCAGTTTATACCATTGCTGTCACTCATGGCTGAAAAAATAGCCAGCTTCACCAGCATCATCTCTCTGTGTCTTGCCCACATTCCTCCAGGCTGCTTTTAACATTGCATTTCATATGTATGACTTCCCCGTCTGTAAAGTTGTCCTCCTTTCCCATCTTTTCGTAGTATACTTTCCTGCAGTGCCTGCAGGACATTGGAGCTGCAAAACAATTGAACAGCAGCTTGGCCTTGGTAGGAATCTGCAGCTTCTGTTCCGTAGCAAAACTGAAGGATAAAAGAATAGGTTTTTTTTCCCCCAAAGCAAGATGCAACATGGGTTTCTAACAGATTTGTCTCACTGACAGCAAGAAGACTAAAAAAAAAAGTCATCTGAAACACTTCCAAGTCTTGGCACAAGCTTAAATATATTATAATACAGTTTTAACTATTCTCTTCGTAAGTGAAATGCAACGTATGAGTGACAACTGTCAAAATCAAATAAATGGCAGCAGATAAGTAGATTGTTAAGGCTTTTTGCCCACCTAGCATAGATAAATATTCATTAAATGGATGGTGTTTGTCCTGACTGCCCTGTATTGTAGAAATATGCTACTTTGAAAGCCTTTTGATAATTCCACTGTGTTTTGCAACTATCAGGAGCACAAGTTCAAGTGCATACTGCTGTTTCCTCTTCCCCTGCTGTGGCTTTCTGAAGCTATTGGTTTAATCAAAGCCAGCCTGGACAGTCTCTGAGAAGAAAAAGAGTGATTTGCATCAAATTCTTACAGCATTAGGTTTACAAGGTGTATGCTTTGGATTCAGTACCTTTTTGAGAGGGCTGAAATCCTGAAACAGACAAAAAAATCTGCAGTCAGAAGGGAAGATTTGGGCTAAAAGTTGGATGTGACATGATCAAAGTCAGTGCAAGAGGCTGGAGCCAAGTCTGCTGAATCACAGCTGAGCCTTCCCTCTGGTCCTCTTGCTGGCAGCAGGTTCAGATTTTACTGAAGTGGCCTTCATGGCAGGTTTGTACTTGCCCTTTCCTGGGTGAAATTGAGTCATCTGCTTTGGTTTCTGAAATAAGTCATCTTTAGTGTTCACCTGAAAAGACTGTGTGATTCCCTAAGAAGTAAGAAGGCTCTTTGTCCATAACACATTAATTAATTATTATTTCATCCTTGAGGGAGGATTAATAACCTTTCAAGAGGAAGAAGTGGAGATGCTGTCTATTTTAGAGTCTTAATTAAATACTTTTATGAGTATCACTGGCATATTTAATTTCACATCTGACTATATCTTCGCTGAATGAAATGCGTTGCTGAAGTTCTTATTTGTTTGTTACTTGTGTGTCTTGCGCTTGTCACAGCACTCGAATTCAGTATTACAGAGTGGTTACTCTGCAAAGCTGCACTCTCCCACTTGGTCCTGAAGACACTTGTACTGAAGCCATCTTGTAGCACAGTGACAAGCAAGGCTTTTACTTCAGCACCATAAGAAGTCGACAGAGGGCCCAGTTGGGAAGGGCAGCATTCCCAGAGTGATGGGACAGCTGTGAGCTTCCCCAGCGTGCGTCCGACCCCTGCTCAGCCACAATGCCTCATGTTGCAGCTGTGAAACATCATCTGATTTCTCTTCAGCTCCAAAAGGTCCCGCAGGACTTTGCTTCAGCTCTGAAATGAACTTTGCTCTGTTAGGGACATGGTATTGCAGAAGTTGAGGGTGCCAGGGTTTTAAAATACACAGCTAGACCAAGCTGTTATAGTAAAAGTTGCTGAGCTTTTGTTTCCTTTTGCAATATACCAGGAGACTGAAATTATCCTAATTTCAGAAAGTTAATTTTAGAACAGCTTAATTTCTCTGTGGAAATGCATGGCTCTGGCAGTAGTCATGGGCAAAGGATATCCATGCCTCTGCCTTCTCTCCTGATTATGGACTGCTATAGGACAAGGTGCATTCACACGTGCACACATACATTTTCCCTCTTTCTCTCATTATCTATATGTTATCTATATATCTGTGGAGGTAGCATCTGTGATGATGGTTTCATTGCACTGAGAGTGCTATTGAAGCAGGGGAGGGAGAAATCTCACTGTTCTGGGTGCTGTATACACACAAACACATCTACAGACCTCTGCACTGTTGCTTTCTGTGTTTATCTGTAACTCAGCTGTTCCCTCAAGACACTAATATAGATTGTTTGTAGCAGCTGTGATTCTCCCAGTGGGCAGTCTGGTCCTAATTCTGCTGTCATTCTGTTTGCATACTAGTCCGGTTCTCCTTGTTTTGCTGTCAAAGTCCATGTATGAGAGTGGTTTGTAAATGGTGGTCACTTGAGATTTTCTGGGAGTTTATCTGGGCAGTTGTGTCTCTGTGCCCACTTTTTTTCCCCACTGGAGCAGTTCCAGTGCTAATTCCTGTGTTGCATATTGTTTTATTTTTAAATGAGTGATTTAAGAGAAATGGTTTCTGAATTAGTGAGCACACAGGCCACCAGAGGGGCTTGGTGGAAGCATTCACAATTAGCCAACTAAACATGCCTGCACGGAATTATATAAAACAAGAGGTTAATTTCCTGCCCTCTGCTCATAGCAAGAGGAAATTGCAAAGCAGGAGCATGACAGAATGTCTGTTCACTAGACTGACATGGGATGTGATCATTGGGGTTGGAAGGGACCTTAGAGATTCATTTAGTTCCAACCCCCCTGCCATGGGCAAGGACACCTCCCACTAGCCCAGGTTGCTCAAAGCCTCATCCAGCCTGGCCTTGAACCCCTCCAGGGATGGGGCATCCACAGCTTCTCCGGACAACCTGTTCCAGTGTCTCACCACCCTCACAGTGAAAAATTTCTTCCTAATAGCTAGTCTAAATCTGCCCTCTTCCAGTTTAGATCCATTACATGCCCTTGTAAATAGTCCCTCCCCATGTCTCCTGTAGGCCCCTTTCAGGTACTGGAAGGCTGCTATAAGGTCCCCCTGGAGCCTTCTCTCCTCCAGGCTGAACAACCCCAGCTCTCTCAGCCTGTCCTCATAGGGGAGGTGTTCCAGCCCTCTGATCATCATCATGGTCCTCCTCTGGACCCACTCCAACAGCTTGATGTCCTTCTTGCGTTTTGGGGCCCAGACCTGGACACAGTACTCCAGGTGGGGTCTCAGGAGAGCAGAGGGGCAGAATCACCTCCCTTGACCTGCTGGCCATGCTTCTCTTGATGCAGCCCACGATCCTGTTGGCCTTCTGCGCTGCAAGTGCATGCTGCTGGGTCATGTTCAGTTTTTCATTTACTGACACCCCCAAATCCAGGGCTGCTCTCTATCCATTCCTCACCCAGCCTGTATTTGTGCTTGGGATTGCCTCGACCCATGTGCAGGACCTCACACTTGGCCTTGTTGAACTTCATGAGGTTGGCATGGGCCTACCTCTCTAGCCTGTCTAGGTCCCTCTGGATGGCATCCCTTCCCTCTAGCACGTTAACTGTACCACACAGCTTGATATCATCAGCAAACTTGCTGAGGGTGCACTCGATCCCACTGTCCATGTCGCTGACAAAGATGTTAAATAGCACCGGTCCCAGTACTGATCCCTGAGGAACGCCACTCGTCACCGGTCTCCATTCAGACATTGAGCCATTGACTGCACCTCCCTGAGTGTGACCATCCAGCCAATTCCTTATCCAGTGGGTCGTCCATCCATCAAATCCATACTTTTCCAATTTGGACACCATGATGGCATGAGGGACAGTGTCAAACGCTTTGCAGAAGTCCAGGTAGATGACATCAGTTCTCTTCCTTTATCCACTAATGCCTTAACTCCATCATAAAAGGCCACCAGGTCTGCCAGGCATGATGGCATGATTTGCCCTTGGTGAAGCCATGCTGGTTACCAATCGCCTCTCCTTCATTTTCCATGTGCCTTAGTAGAGCCTTCAGGAGGATCTGCTCCACGATCTTGTCAGGCAGAGGTGAGACTGACTGGCCTGTTTTATGAAGTGAATGCAGGGCTGACTCTGCTTCCTTGCTGGAAATTACTTCTGGGCAAGCAGTGCAGGACATGGACCTTCATGTTTTGTTCAGGCTCTTCCATGAGGTTTGCAGCATCTTTGCTCTTTGATGTGGCACTTTATAATCTTGCAAGCTTTCAGGTATTTTTATACATCTTTTCTGAAATGTTTTTCTTCTATTAAAAGATACAAAAATAGAGAGAAAGGCCAGAATGATGTAAAGTCTTTGGTGCCAAGACTTTTCTGAAAGAGAATTTGCAACTGTCACATGCATCTGAGTGGAGATATCCACCCACAGTACACAAACTGATAAAAAGCTGAATGCCTTTCTCTGGTCTATCAAAAATGGATTTAGAAATATGCTGACTCTGGGTCAGCAGGATGTGGGTAAGTCATTCTCCAGGACTCTGAGAAAGATTAATTCAGCATGTTCAGAGAATCACAGAATCATAGAATGGTTTGGGTTGGAAAGGGCCTTAAAGATCATCGAGTTCAAAGCCCCTGCCATGGGCAGGGACACCTTCCACTAGAACAGGTTGCTCAAAGCTTCATCCAGCCTGGCCTTGAACACCTCCAGGGATGGGGCATCTCCTGGGCCAGCCTGTTCCAGTGTCTCACCACCCTCACAGTGAAAAATTTCTTCCTAACGTCTAGTCTAAATCTACCCTCTTTCAGCTTATACCCGTTACCCCTTGTCCTATCACTACACCCCCTGATAAAGACTGCCTCCCCATCTCTCCTGTAGGCCCCCTTCAGGTGCTGGTAGGCTGCCATTAAGTCTCC